AAATGCCCAGATGTGGCTTTCATACTCTTTTTTGTTATTTAGACTCTTAGAGCTAAGCAGTGGGAAATCTCAACAATTTGTTCAATAATTTTTTTTAAAGACTGGGACTAATTTATTCACCAAAAATACGCTCCTAACTTTCATTGCTCCCTTCAAAAACACTTCACTGCTGTTTGTTGTGAAATGCTACTTGCCATGAAAAAGATTAAATAATAATGGCAATGGATATAATCTATATTTATCTTAATTAGTAGTTGACAAAGAAGGAGGAGGCAGATTCCAAAATGAGCATAGTCCCAACCCAGAATTTTGTTTCCAGATCAACAGGTTGTTGTAGGGACTTGCTCGTAGAAATTTAGGTGGAGTTTTCTTTAGGGCCTGCCTGGATCACAAAGTTGCTCTCCTCTCTCTGCTTTCCTTCCTTCCTTTATCTCTATAGCTCTTTAACTTTTCCATTCACACACATTTTATTTACCCCGTTTTCCCCCAGACCACCAAAGCAATTGCAGGAAGACCTTTTTGCTTAGCATTTAAGTATCTGGAACAGACCCAACAGCAAGATGGTTCAGTATGGTCTGGATTATACCCGTTGCAGATGGATCTTGCCTCTCCTGCTGGGCTTAGCAATGATCTTTGGCATCATCTCACTAGCTGGTTGGGGCTGGGTAACCTCACGAAGTTATCCATTTGAGAGTGAAGGCTCGTTATGGAGGTTATGCTCTTTAGAAGATGATTGGCGATGTACATCTCTCATGGATTTTGGTAAGGATCTCAGTGATGGGGACACTGTAAGGCAATTTGAGTATGTGTGTGTGTGTGTGTATGTGTGTGTGTTTGTGTGTGCAGCAAATTACACTATTTAGGGGCAATATGTTTTATAACATTTTTGCACATGTAACACCAAGTAGTTCTTTTCACTGTTATCATTACTTCCAATATTTTCTCCAAATTAGAAATGTTCAATAATGTGTGTGTGTGTGTGTGTGTGTGTGTGTGTTTAAAAGAAGGAATTGAATTGTCAGACAGAGCAATTGTGAAAGTAGATGCTATAAAGACATACCTTCCTTTTTTCTGGTTTATTTGTACTCTTGGACTAGAGAGGATGTAGCTGTTATTCTCGTCTCGGTCAACAGAAAACATAGCAACTTAAAATTTTGAAAATGGTGATTTTGATTTCTTTTATTGGCGCCAATCTTAAAGTCTACGAAATTGTTTGAAAATGGATGTATACAATTACATATTAGGGTTAAACTATTATACCCAGTGGATCTGTATAGTGTTCAGTATTTCAGAATGTACTGATAGCAATGTTTCCAGCACACACATTTTAGGAGCATGTTAAATTTGGTTTTCTCTTTTTGGAAATAGTGTTATGTCATGAAGACTTTTATTTTCTGGCTGCTCTTCGGAACAAAATATTTGAAGGCTGCACTGGTTATGTAGAGTGCAAGCCAAATAAAGTGAAATGGAGGATTTTAAAAAATCTTCATCAATGAGGGGTTTAAAATGCCTTCAGTGAAAGATATTCTGTTTATACTATGTAATAAGATTCAATCATTTATATATAATAAGGTTCAATCATTTTTGTAGAGTCAGTTAGATTTTTATGTGCAGAAAATGTAAAACACTCAGAGGAATTCTTAGGTAGTTTATTTATTCTAGATTGGTGGGCGAAATCTGAGGAATATACACAGGAATGTTTAAAATGCTATTCCAAACGAAAATGCTGCACAAGTAAAAGTGCAACATTCATCTTGTATGCCCTTTCCACAAAGCTGTAGGACCCATCTCTTGCATTTGTGTCTGTAAAATCCCAATTAACCTCTACCACTCATTGCCCACAGCTTTTAAATATGATCTTCTCAGCTTTAATATCTTTGTGTGAAGATTTCTATTCTTTTACAAATGCTTTTACAAATTCTATTCTTAGCAAAATGTTTTTGACATTTGACATGCCAAAATCTTCTCTGGATTTAATCTGTTAAAGAGCAATTCAGTATTGTGAGCATCTCATTTTAAATAAATAAATAAATAAATAAGTAAGTAAGTAAATAAGTAAATAAGTAAATAAATAAATAAATATACTCCTGTAGATGGTTAAGGATTAGAATTCACTACCTTCCTTTCTCTGCTGCATTCTCAAGTTGTTCCTGCTTTTGTCCAAAGAGATCAATATCATCGTGCCTGTCAATTCTTCACTACTGTAATGGCAAGACATGAAAGAGATTTTATGAGAACCAGAATTAATTTGGTTACGCGTCCCACAGTCGTTCCTGTTCAAACAGGTTATTGAAATATTAAAATGACCCAGAATACCTTATTTAACAGAGATGAAGATAGGATGCCTAACAGCAAAGGTGCCAATCGTTTTATTGTACCTATTTGCTTGGGGGAAAAAAAAAAGAATGCCTACCAAGTGTCTTACTCTAAAACTGTAGCTGCTTTAAAATCAAAGACTCTGTTCCATGAAATAATTGCCCCCGCCCCAGCCCCCTTTCCCCCAACAGATAAAACTATATGGATATAATGATTGGAGTTCACAAAGCACTTTGAGCCATTTGATTTAGTTCAGCAAATCATGGAAATCCAGCTGTTACATTTGGTAAGCGATGCCTTTTAATACTGTATGTGAACCCATCCAATTGCGGTTTATTTGATAAAAACATTGTTACCTAAAAATGGATAAATGGATGTGCTAGGTATACCCTTCCATGCCCGACTGAATGATATTTTAGAGCTGTATCTTGCCAGGGCGAGGCATAAAGGATGGAGCCATTGTTTTCTGTTTTGATTTCCAGCTTGGGGTAGAGGTGCAGCTGCCACCTTCTTAGTTGGATTTGTACTTGTCTGCATCTGCTTTGCCTTGTCCATCATCGCTTTTGCCATCCCGACACTTCGCTTCAACTTCATCAGAGGCATAGGAGGCTTGTGTTTTGTCGCTGGTAAGGCTGCATATCCAAAGCAAGAGAAATATGGGTAGAATATTGTAGAATATGCCAGAGCATATTTGGTTTGGAGACACAGTGGCTGTTTCTATGGCAATAAGAAAATAGCAGTGTAGGCGTGTAGAAAAGATGGGTGCCATTTCACGTTTTCTCAGGAGCTCGTCCGAACAGCAGTATGGGAAGACCTTGCATTGCAACCACATTTGAGCCCAACATCCCCATTGCTAAGCAAGGCGGTTGTTAAGTCAGTCACGCCCCATTTTATGATCATTTTTTGCCACAGTTGTTAAGCAAATCACTGCAGTTGTTAAGTGAAACATGCAGTCGTTAAGCGAATCTGACTTCCTCCATTGACGCTGCTCGTCAGAAGCTGGCTGGGAAGGTCACAAATAATGATCGCATGACCCGGGGACAGTGCAACTGTCATAAATACATGCCAGTTGACAAGCGCCCCAATTTTGATCACGTGACTACGGGGGTGCTGCAAATGTAAGAACAAGTCATGAGTCACTTTTTTCAGTGCCGTTGTAACTTTGAACAGTCACTAAATGAATGGTTGTAAATCAAGGACTACCTGCATTTCATAAAAGCAGCTAATAAGCAATGATATGTGTTATAATCAATGGAGAAAATAGTAGCTTTTTTTTTTTTAAAAAAAAGCACAAGCATTGTCTATTTCATTTTAAACCAGGAAACAAGATAATGTCTATATCCTGAAACAGAGGGCAGGGGAAAAAAATCTAAAAGGAGCCTTTCTGCTTTTCCTAAATTCTTCTGAATTCATCATCTCTCTCTCCTTATTTTTCTGATATATGTATGAAATTGTAGAACCCGGGTTCTTCATTTATTTTATTTTAGTTGATTCAAAAGCATTCTAAATTTATGTTCACCCTGTGAGTAATTCTACATAAACATGACTCAAAGGTTATCTATCAAACATCAACCGTATTGTTGAAATTGTAAATTGTATGTTTACCTTCATTATTCCTGGGTAAAATATGATTCAGAATCTCACATCACCATTTCTGTGATATTTCCCCTCAGAGCTTCAAACCCCAAAGGACTGTAGCTTAGCGGTAAAGAACCTGCTTTGCTTCCAGTTACCTTAGCCCAGTGTTTCTCAACCTTGACAATTTTAAGGCATGTGGACTTCAACTCCCAGAATTCCACAGCCAGCAATGCTGGCTGTGGAATTCTGGGAATTGAAGTCCACATGCCTTAAAATTGTCAAGGTTGAGAAACACTGCCAGCCTTTCTACCTAAAAATGGTCTCAAGTTACAAGGCTGGATCTTATGATGCTGCCAAATACTGGACTGCATGAATCATCTCTCTGACGGTATAGAACAGTATAATTTAATCACCATATTAGATAGATTGGGCAATTAAAATACAAACTAGGATGGTGACAGGGCTGAGAATTCTCTCAAGGCTATTTTTAAAAACATACAGTCAATTCTGTTCTCCTACTGTTTTCATGTGTTATTAACTTTTTTTTAACCTTTTCATGTTTTGCAGCCATGTTCTCATTAATGGGTCTTGTCATCTATGCTGTAATGATTTCAACACGTGTGGCCTTCCCAGTAAACACTGTGCATGTGTTTGATTGGAGCTATGGATTTGGGTGGACCATGTGCATCATGGCAATAGGTCTTGGATTCTTCTTTTGTTGTCTCCCCCTCTATGAAGATCACATTTTGGGAAATGTCAAACCTGAATATTATTAAAATCTCCTATAAAGAGCAACAGGGCCATCATATGGAGTCCCTCGCTGCTTGGGATCCAAAGAAGCATACAGACATACCTATCAGCTCAAGTCCAACATACAAGACTAGAATATATAGAGGTTTAGCAGCTCAAAAAAAGAAGTATTAACAATTCTTGTTAATGTGGATTTGTTAATTTTTTTAAACAACTTTTTTTACCATTAGTTTTTATAGGCAAATAGTAACTGAACTTCCTTAATTAAACATTCACCAATTTACAGAATTGGTTTATAATCAGTATTGACTTCCTCCTGTAGTCCCAACCCTCCTGCTCCCAACCCTTTGGGGACACACTTTTAGGGGCAGGGGTTCAAAGGGCTGCAGAGGGGAAGATAAATTAATGACAACAGCTACCCTGCTTCATTTGTTAGTGTGAGAGAAATCCTGCTAAAGCCTGTTTAGATTCAATCCACTAGACAGAAATATCACCAGAAACCAGATGTTCCAAAAAAACCCCAAAATACCTTGAGGAGTCCCTGATGCTCTCTGACCCCTCGTGTCAACCCTGAGCTACAAATATTTTCCTTTATTAAAAACCTTCTTGATTGCATTATTACTAATATGTATAAGCTTGTCTTCTCCAGCCTGTCAATTGCAGATGTGTTCGGATCGCAACTCCCAGAATTGGATGTTTAATTATGCTGACTGAAAATGTTTGGAATCTGTATTGTTCTAACGAAACATCAGTATTGAAGCACGTGCTTTGTTTACAAAAAATTCCAAATTTAGGCTATAACATCTTTATTAACAAGAATGAGAAAGATGAAGCCAACATGGAAAACTTTTATGTACCTGAAAGCAGTATTAGCCAGAACAGACTGCATGAAGTGCATAAATTGTTTAGTTAGGAAGAGGTTGGGAACAAATTACCCTGACTGAGAAAATGTGATACCAACCTAATTTCTGTTCATTTTAACAAAACTATGTAGCCTGCACATTTTAAAGACAATTCTATTATGTTCCAAACTTGTTTACAATAAACAGTCTTCTCTTATTAGATGTTCTCAGATCTGCAAACTGACCTATGTGGAAAGCAAGATTAAAGAGAAGAGTTTGCTGAAGTTCCAGTTGTACTTTTGTAATAGCATATCTTAGTTTTGCCTACTTGTTTTAAAGTGTAAATACATAGCTTTTTTTAATGCATGGATGTATAATTGCCAAAATATGTTCATTATTTTTTTTACGGGGGCAATTCTTTTGTAATATTTTGTTTATGTTCAGCTGACGAAGGCAACACAATCCATCATAACACTGAAAGGAAAATGATGCAACATAGGCGTACAGAACTCAGAAAATGTACATATATACATTATCTATTATACTAAGGGTCATGTGGTACTCATTTTTTTGCCATTTATTCTGACCTCTTACAGCAAATGTGGGCATCTATGGCAATTTTATGACCTGTGGACTTCAACTCTGAGAATTCCTGAGATAGCATGGCTGGCTTAAAGTCCAGTTAAAGTTCTCAGGTTGTAAAGTTGCCATAGTTGCCCACCCCTGTCCTATAGGCTTGTTTCTTAATTCAAACCTTATTCCTAAGTAAAAATACATAAAGCTGTCGCCTTAGATTGTAAGCTGTAGGGGTTGTGTAGCTTCCATGTTCTTCATAATGCTCAAGGCTTAATTAAAAGTTAAATCAATAGTTTAAGTGGCAAGTTGAACTTAATATCATCTATTGTGTTTTGGCATAATTTTCCATGTTTCTTAACTGCATGGTCAAAAGGATGTGATATTATTAAAATCAGTTAGTAGAACCTTTTTGTCTGTTGCTTAATGAGTAAAAGAATTTGTAGGATTGGTATTAAATACTTAAAAATAAAAATAAACAACACAAACAACTTAAGTATGTGAACATATTGCCCTGATCAAATGACAGATGCAAATTTGTTGAAAATTCAAAAAATTAGCATACAGACGCTATAATTGCTGTTAAAAATTCAGCCCTTGCAAAAATGTTTTAGTATTCTGGGCAGTTTACTAGCAGAGTTCTAAACATTGATTGCTTAAGGCAAGACTAGGAAATTTGTGGGCCTTCATGGGAGTTGAATTTTAACAGTGTCTTTAATATAGTCTAGACCTGAGATTTCCCCCTTCCCTCAGGAGATGAATAAAGAACAATTTAAAGCAACAAAGAATTATCTTTTGGCAAAAGTGAGCATTGTTGCCAGTAATATCAGAAAATTAAGGGAAGGTGAATATTATTTCAAGGAGGGCTCCCAAAAGGAGGTTGCTGGTAGTTGCATTCACTCTGTAAATCCTGGTCCTAGTTTATTAAATATATTAATATCCTATAGGTAGATGCAGATTAGTTCTTTCTAAAGAACTAATTTTGCCCAATATCAATTGATGCTAGATGGTTGGGTGTACTTAAATCTAGCCATCAAAACCCTTGTCCCTTAAGCTGCAGAAAAATGAAATTTAAAAATTTGAAGATGTCTTTTCTGAGAAGAATCAAGGGCTATAGATATTCCCAGGGCTTTTTTTCCTCATAGAACGCCCAGAACGGAGTTCCGGCACCTTTTTTGGATGGAACCTTGTAGGGTAGGCAAGGCGGGTTGTATGACGTGTGTGAGTTCCGGCACCTTTTTTTTTTTTTTTTTTTTAGAAAAAAAGCACTGGATATTACTTCAACCAGTATTGCATCCACGTTTCATCAGTCCCTTTCGTCAGGCTGTGGATTGCAGACTCTAGCCTAGAAATTATGCAGAGGATTTATAGTCTGCACTCAATCTCTACTAGGGAGAACATGCCTGCCCAACAGGTTGCACAATGATAGGGTTCACTAATGGGAATGCAAAGGCCTTAGGTCTTGAGCCTGGGAAAACAAATATGCTAACAAATAAGTTACAGGATGAAACAAAACACTTTTGAGCGGTGTTTTGTTGTTTTGAAAATATATATAGCATGTCTGTAGGATATATGTGCATGCTATTTTTTTTTCTACGAAAGGGAAATTGATAGCAAGAAAACAGCACAGGGTCCTTGAAGAAAAAAAAAACAACAATAAGGGACACAGCGGGACTAGGCTCCATATATTTAATGTATCTAGAGGATTCCAAGAAACTTTCTCCTTTTGGGAACGGGTGAATACACAAGGCATAGCAAATAGTAGCTTCTTCAGGAACTTACTGCTTTCATCAGAATTAGGGAGGAAGTCAGCACTAGAAAAAAAACACCAGATTTCTTTTTCTCTGATGAGTGACATAGAGCTGGCTCAATGGCACTTCAATCTGGTCTAACTCATAACTTGCCAGGCAATAAGGGATATGAGTAGCTAAAACCATTTCCATGATCCTTCCCTCCCCCCCTAATCTACTAAACCCACTTCAGCTGCACGTCACAGGCTAATGTGACAGTGATGATTAGACTGAGTAGGGCTTGAAGACTGTGGGAGTTTCTTTCCAGTTGAGTCATGACCGCACCACCCTTTGGGTGAGTGGCATTCCATAATTATGTAGGAGGAGGAGAAATCGCTGCAGAACCATTAGGGGTACATATTACTTTAAAGTCGTATTTACACAATCACCAAGTGTAGTAGATTATATTGTTACTGACAGGGAGTTCCATTGTATAAAAGCTAACAGATGAAAATATGATCAGCTTGGTTTAAATCTACTGGAAGTTCAGTCTGACTAAACTTAAAAACATCACGGCACATGTGAACATAATTTTAGAACAGCGTGTTAGTAATTGGAATGCAATTTCTCCTCATATTATCTCTGAGGTGGCTGGAATGGGATAGGATAAAGTTGTCTAAACCAAGATTAGGCCTGAAAAGCCATTATTTCACCAATAAAAATTCAGGAAAGTATTTCAAAAGAAGATAGAACTTTTTTTTTTTAAAAAAAAAAGGATAGATCAAACAAATCAAGTGTCCTGCAGTATAAAGCAATGAAGAAGGGAGAGATACTGTAAGCTGGGATGGGTTTTTCTATGTGAACAAAGTGGTGTGATGTATTTGCCCAGGCATGCAAGTCAACTCTCCCATAGACACTCCTAAGGTGGGGCATTTATTCATCTAAAGCCTGAGCCAAATGAAACACATTCAATATTTGTACCATGTAACCAGTCAGAATAGTTACATTGGTGAAGCTGCAGCTTACAGACACAGTACTGTATTGAAAAGGCTGTTAAACTTAGATAGTGGATTTACTTACGTCTAGATACAAATGACAAATGGAGAAAGCAGTAAAATTTTGATGAGGAGGAATTAAGCCACATGGATGCTGAAGTCATTTTTTTTCTTTCCTTCCTCTTAACTTGGCTAACCAGGATTGTGAGACACCAAGATGAAATACGAGCAGAACAAGGGTGGGAAGAGGGATTGAGCGGGACTGAGATAATGAAGATAATGCAGAAAAGAAACATGATGGATGACTAAAGATTTACTTAAGAGAACCATGTTGTAGTACATTCTATTGCAATCTACTATGCTTCAGTACACTTAGGTTTTTGTGCTGTTCTTATTTAGGGCTAACACCACACTGTATTGCAGCATACTGTATTGTGATTTAGAGGATTATAGCAGACCATATTTTCATTTTGTACAGTGCAGCTCTCTGTCGGTGACAACATAATGTACTACATTTGGTGATCATGTAAATTGTATTTATTTATATAGAACTTATATAACCCTGGGCAATTATTTCTCCCCCCCATTATAATATTTGGTTTAAAAGAGTTTAAAAAATAGTGCATGGTGAAAGCTAAATACTAAAGACTTGAATCAGCAGAAAAGGTTTCTAGAAGAGATGTTAAAACTTGTTGTGTGCTTTTGCCTTAAGCTAGGGCTGGGTGAAGCCACACCTTAGTGGATGAGACTTCCAATAAGCAACACCTTTCTACCCGTGTACTTGGAAGCTATTCTCTGAAACTGCTGGGGGGCACTAAAAAAATTGCAAGGGAAGCCATGCCAGCATGGAAATCAAAGTTACAGGACTCTTTCCCATGATAGAACAGCAGTGTTTTAGAAGCCATGTAATTACATACAAGAACCCCACCCTGTTTGGGGCCTGTTTTTCAGTTAGCAAGCAAACTTTCCCAACTGGTTATTACACAAACCTATACAACATGAGTTAGATTTATTCTGGGGAGGAGAATCAGGGGGTGGGGATCAGGGTTTAAAGCTCC